TCCTTAATTTATAAACTTAGTCTTTTTCTACCTTCAAAAGCTGTCAGTTATAAGTGACGGCTTGACTTCCTAGGGAATTCTCTTGACTTTCTCAACAGGAACAACCTGGTTGAGAAAGAGCACCAAAATCTCCCAATACTCCTAAACGTTATCTCAGAAGAATATGCTCTCCACAATGCTTAAGATATTTTATTTCAATAGGAAAAATTTATCTGTAATTATCTACAGTTTACTTTAAGCCCTCAAAAGCAATTTCTTGTTTCTAGATGTATTTAGAACCATAAAGTAGAACTCATTTTTTTGAGCAGCAAATCAACATCACATACTGTACGTTACACTTACATAATTGAAAATTGGCCAAGGTTTATTTTACTATTTATCCTTTCTCTGTAGTGTTGAACAAAAATATTAAGAAAAAAGTGGGCTAATTAGGTACTTAATATACTAATAAAAATTCTATTAATGATGTATAAGGCTTAGAGGCAGGCATTGACATATATATAATGTAATATAATGTGCATTAATCGAAATGTAAATACTATCTAAAGCAAAATCTAGAACAGCACTCTGTAGTAGAACTTCTGATATGATGGAAATATTCTGTTTTTGCCCTGTCCAACTTGGTAGCCACCAGCCACATGTGGCTACTGACCACTTACAATGTAGCTAGTGTGACTGTGGAACTAAATCTTAAGTTTTAATTTTAATTAATTTGTAATTAGGTTTCAATAGCCACAGGTGGCTAGTGGCCAGTTTGGATACTGCAGAACATTTCCATTATCCTAGAATGTTTCCTCATGACCCTTTCCACTAAATCCCAACCTAACACCTCTGCCATCAAAGGGAAACAATAGATTAGTTTTTCCTGTTCTTGGATTTTATATAAATAGTTTCATAAGCTATGTACTCTTTGTGCCTGGCTTCTTTTGCTGAATGTTTTTGATATTTGTGTTTTTGTATCATTAGCCCTTTCCTTTCACTTGCTCAATAGTATTTCATTGTATGAATATATCACAATTTGTTTTTCCATCTTTCTACTGATAGACATTTGGATTTTCACTCATTTGTTCTTAATGCTATAAATACAGTCATATGTCATTTAACAACAGGGATAATTTCTGAGAAATGCTTCGTTAGTTGGTGAACATCATAGAGTGATGATCATTGTGAGATTATAGAGTATATTTACAAACCTAGATGGTATAGCCTATTGCTCCTAGGCTATAAAACTGTACAGCGTGTTACTGTTCTGAATACTGTAGGCAATTGTGACAGTGATAAGTATTTGTTTATCTAAACGTATCTATACATAAAAAAGGAATTTTTCAGTTCCATTATAATCTTATGGGACCACTTTCATATATATATATATATATATATATATATATATATATATATATATAAAACCCATCGTTGACCACAACATCGTTATGTGTGCCTGTATTGTATCTCACATTCTGAATTAATTGAGGAGAAAAAGCTACATGTGCAAATCAAAAGATAATTTACTTTGGTCTTGAGCAAAGACAGACAACTTATGATTCCATTATTATCTTTCTGTGCAGGGGTAAAAATTTAATTATATGATATATATAAGAGTAGACACACTTCAGGACTGCTAAGTAATCAGCTGGTTTGCATAATTTAAAGAAAACATAATTAGACAAATCAACCAGAAAAGAAATTGCACTGTTTTCAAAACCTAAACATACTTTAGATGGGGATGGGTAGGCTTGGGGGAGCTCCAGAGAATAGTGGCAAATTATGTAGTTTTGATTTATCTTGGCCTCTATGACTCTCTATTATTTTGATAATTATCATATATGCACAGAATTTCAGATCTAGTAAAGCCAATTTGTAATCTAGTAGTCTAATTCCCCAGTGATCTACTTATCAAATAAATGCTCAATAAATACTGGTAAAAATGAAACCATTCATTTTATATATGAGAACTAAGACTCCACATGAGTTCCAACTGAAGAAAATGGGATATTACAATCAAATGAAAAAATTTAAACAGGTGTCATTTCTGCTTTATAAAAGGATTCACCACAAATTCAAGGAAAAATGCCATAGAATACATTAATTTACAAACCTCTCAAACATACAACTTTTCAGAAACAAGCCTATCACATGTATTTTATCTTTTCATATGCACTCTTTTTTCAACCACTAGCACTGAAATGACTTATTAGTTCTTGAATACACAGTAGATATTAATAGGAGGAAATACCCTGATAATATCGAAAAATAAATTTACTCTTAAGAATATCCCAAAGTAATTTATAAAGTACATAATCCATACATAATCAGGGATTTACATTTTTCTTTAAGTGGTTCAGATATAAATGCATTAATCCATGTCTCTGCCAATCATTTCAATCTGAGAGCAAAGACAATCCAAGTTCAAATATATTTTGAATTTATAGATAAATTAACTTTGAACATTTTACATACAGTAACTATGTCCCATTTAGTTTGGTTATGTCTTATTGAGCTCACAGTGTTTTGCACTGTAATAATGTGCTACTGTTATGGAGTGGTTTAACACTACTGGGTCTTTTTTTGTGACTTACTTAAGACATAATTTATTTCTGAAATATATGTACCACATATGCAGCTTTAAAAAATGACCAAAAAAGGAGATCCTATCATAACTGACTATAAGTAAAAAGATTTTTGGGTCCTTTTATAACTAATCATAGTATAAAAAAATATACACATAAATCATATTTCGATTTAATAGCTTGAATTAACTTGGTTATTTGATGCAGTGTGGTGGTAACATTAAAATTTTCACATATTAACATCATATAGTTAGAAGTCATACTATCAATTATGGTAAAACGGGGAAAAATATTCTAAATTCTAACTTTTCAAGAATTCAATTACTTTACCTATTCCTAACTCAGGAAAAGGCCGAACCTGGAAACTGTTTCGAAGCAGCTTAGAACTGATGTTACAATATCCCAGCATAAAGGTCACACTTTTTCTAAAAGACAGTCCCTCAAAGTACTTATTTATACTCTTGAGACAGTTTTGCACAAGCTTCATTATGTGGTTTTCTTGCCTGCAGATTAAAAGCAGTAAATTAAAAGAGTGAGGAGGATAATACAACTATGTTCACTGAATGCAGTAAGAAGCAACAGCTGACAGTAAGGAAAGGGACAGGCAAACTGTAACAGACAATAGAACTAAAAAAGCAAAGCTATTCAGAGCCATGTAGTGTGAGCAAACAGCTCTACACATCATTATAGGAATGAAGATTTTATCTGTAAATATAAAAAGACTATTCATAATAACTACCACTTTTCATACAGCTGTTATGTATACCTCATTTCTTATGTGTACATCAAAATTACTACTTTAAATTTGAAGAATTTAACCGCCGTTGGTCACATTGTCATTTTACAAGGGCTTATGAAACCTTTTAGCTTTAGCACTGGGCTACCACTGTTCACTATCACAACACATTATTATTGTAAAAACATTTAAATTCTTGAGATTGCCAAAAGCAACAATATTACTATCTTAAATCTATTGTTCAAACAGTTGGTTCCTAAAATGCCTTTACATTGTATTTCATGGCAGAGTCATAAAATAAAACCACTGACTTTTAGGACTCTGTTTACCCTAAAATGCAAATATTACCTGCCTAATAGTGGTGTTGTCAGGATTAAATGAGATAATGTATGTAAAACACTTAGCACCAGGTCTGGGGGACAGAATAAGAGCTCAGTATTATTTTAGCTGGGGCGAACTCATGCTGGCCCAAATCCCTTATTTGCAGGTGCAAAAATTAAGCCTCAAGAAGAAAACTGACTTCCAAAGGCTCTACTTCTAAAATGTTATTGTCTTGGATAAGCAGCTTAGTCACAAATGTTGGAGATTTAGGGTACTGGCGGGGCCCGGGGGCATGGCCTGCTGGACTCCAGTCTGCAGAGACTTGGACAAGTATGTTTGAACCATGAGGTATTAGAAGCTGTGAGTTATCAACGGGCGTCCGAGAGAGCAAGTTATGTGCTAACAACATTCATCAAAGACGGAAGCCATTCGTCTATCTCAAAACAGCGAGAAACAACACGACCCTCAGCTCCAGCACGATGTCAAGTAACCGGGGCTGTGGGCGAGGCAAGTAATAGGGTACCGGGTTGAGCTCAAATCTCGGCTTGGTCAACTTTAAAGAGGGATGAGCACTTTACTTAAGGGCTGAAAATAACGGAGAACTAGAAACTAACGGGATGGTATCTCGGGCAGGTGTAAGTTACCCCGCCCCTCAAAGCCTTTAGTCGAGGGGTACCGCCAAGTGCGTTTCCTCATCCTCCGGGGAGGCAATTTCTTGCTCCTTATTAGCACGTACGTACTCCCAGCCCTGTGGGTAGGGAGTGATGACCTCGCCTCTTCGTTCTCGAGCGAGGGCCGGACATGCTCTGACCTCCAGCTTTCCGCGCCGCGCAGCAGCGGGACCGCGGGAGGCCGGCCCACTGCCCACACGCGGCCCGGGCTCGCCTTCTCTAAGATGGCGGCAGAGACAGCTCGCTCACGCCCCGCCGCCCGGGCTCCTCGGAGTCGTAGCTTAAGAAGGCGGGAACAGGCCAGAGCGTGGAAAACAGGAGAGCAAGAGTGGTTGGGACCCTCCAATCCAGCGGAGGCCCCGGAGCTCTGAAGCGTCTGGACATGCAACATGCCGGGAGGCGGATGCTACCAGGAACACCGCCAGCGCCTCAGAAACGAAAAAGCGGCGGCACATCCGGGACCCTCCACCAGCTCCGCCCAGGAAATGACGTTTCGGGCGGGGGGACGGACGCAGCTCTTCAAAGTGTATTCTTCCCTCGCCATAGCTCATCTCTTCACAAAGTGCCTGAATTGCCCTCACCACCCCCTCCCCGTGGTTAGCCGTTACTCTTTCGTGGCGGGGCGGAGGCGTCTCTGCACAAAGCTACCTGCTGGGGTAGGCAGCTGTCCTTTCACAGAAAGTACCCTTTTCTCCATGACCCTACCTCTTCTCGGCTTCGCCAGTACGTGTAGTAACATTCTTCCAAGAAGACTCTTAGTAACCTCAGCCCCTACCAAGCCTAGGCGCACCTCTTCGGAGTCTTACGTTGGAATCCCGGCCTCGCGCCCCCTCACTCCACCGGGGTTTGGGGGGCTTGTCAATCATGGCGCTAAGCCCGCCCCTTCCGGCGCCTCCGCCGGGCCCGCCTCCTCCCCTCTTCCCTCCCCCACCCCTCCCCGTGCGAGTGTCTCCCTCTCCCTCTCGCTCTCTCTCTCTCTCCCTCTCTCTCTTTTGTGAGTTATAGCAACCGTTGCCTTGTGAATCAAGCGCCATAGTCACCGTAGTCCTGGCGACTGTTACCCATCAACAACAACTACTCCTCTCCTCCTCCTCCTCCTCTTCCTCCTCCTCCTCCCCACCACCACCATCTCCATCACCCACCAACAACACCACAATAATCCACAGCCAAGGTGAATATTCTTCGGTCTCTACATGTGTGTGGGAGCGTGTGGATGCGTGTGAACGCGTGTGTCCGTGCGTGTGTGTGTTCGTGTGTGCGAGCCGAGTGTGGCTGTGCGGGGGTCTCACTCCTGACACCGGGGGCTGCCGCTGCGGCGCCGCTGCCGAGGGGCTCTGTCCCCCGGGCTTGTTTACAATGGACCCTGCGCGCCGCGGCTGGGTCGGGGGTGTGGGCGCCGCGGCGCCAGCCCGCCGGCCCCGGCCCTCCGCCGGCCGCACTTCAGGGATGGAGCGGGAGCTCGGGGGGCTGCGAGCCGAGCGGGAGAGGGAGCCACAGTTTTCCAATGCGGATGCCGGATCTTTCCCTTAGGTCTAGTCTGAGGAGAAGGGTCAGGTGAAGAGAGAAGGATTTTCTTTTCTTTCCTTAATTTTGTTCTTTTTCAAAGCTGCTTGTTTCCTGCTTCTTTCAGAACCGAAATAGACAACACTATGAAGGGGGGGACTCGAGAGGTGGTGTTTTGTTGTTGTAGTTGTTCACTTGTGGGGCCTTGTTATGGGTTTTGTTATTTTTATCTTCGTACACTGGTGAACTTTTCCCACCGCCTATTCCCTTCATTTTGGCCCCTCTTTGCCTGATGCTAAATGGGCTGCTCTTCTTTTACCATCATGAGCTTCACGGTTTTCTTTTTGCTTTTAAAACTGTGTTTTCTTTGTGCTGCAAACAGTCTTAATATCCATCCAGCACTCTTCCCTCCCCCTCTTCCATCTCCCCCCCACACCCCTTGCACACACACTGAAACCTGGGGCCTCTTCGCTGGGCACTCTTTGCTGTACTGGGAGAGAGATTTTTTTTTTTTAAGTCTCGCTCCTCTCTCATTTTTGGGGTGTGTGTGTGCTTGTGATTTAAACCGGATGCAGGCATCTGTGATACTTGGGTTAATAGTTATTGACAGTGCTTTATCCTTCATGTGGAGATGGGAGGGGTAGTAGTGAGGTTCCCTTTCACTTTGATGAACCTCCCTCCCCACAGTGGAGTGTTAACAATTTTCATTGTCGTTATGAGACTTTTGTGTGGTGAACAGGGAAAGGACACAGGGAAGCTTTGTGAAAACTGAGTTTACAGTGTTATGTGTGACAGTTAGGGTACTTTTAAGAGTTGTTTTTTTTTTTTTTTTAATCTTCTCTGTTCTGTTCGTTTTCCTTTGAGAGTTGAAATTGAAGTCAAGTTGTTCATAAAGAATGTATGAAGCTTCTCAACTTGAAACGTGTGTATATTTCACTTTCTTTGTGGTTGTTAAGATCTAGGCATGTGTGTGCTTAACATATTCTTTTTATTTACTTTTTGGGTTTCTTTGGACAGTGATGTGAACCTGCTCAGGAGAGAGAACTTTTTCCTTAAGTCTTTTTTTTTTTTAATCATTTTTCTCTGTAGATTTGAATACTAATTAGTTCTCAAGTAGTAGGTTCTTGGTTATTGTTAACCCAGTTTAACAGATCCTCTAAATTTGTTCCTTTTTCAGCCTAACTTTTAATTAATTATCAGTAAAGAGTTTTGATAATGAATGTTTGCTAAAACAAATATAATGTGTTAGTATAGTTGTACTTATTGAAGTTTTTAATTTACAATTTTAAAATACTTAAATAGTCTTCTTTCTAAAAGCAAACATATTGATTTAACTGACAGAGCAGCCTGTGAATAATGTGATAGTGTTAATTATTCTTGAAATTGTCAATGAGGAGGTTGGGTAATTATAATGCTATTAAGGCTAATATTTTGTAAAATAAGAGTTAGGGGTTTAAAAAAACTTTTCCTCTTTCAATTCATTTTCTTGTGATTGCTATTTTAAATGAAGATGATATTTTGTTCTGAAAGAAGTCTTTTTCAGAGCTCTCAGATTTCTTTTTAATCAGTCATCCTCTCCCCAAATTGAGTTCCATGCAAATCTCTAATACTAACTTGTATTTTTTTTCTCCTGTTCAGGTGAGTGTCAAATGCCTGAACTCTTTTGGATGGTGAAGCTCCTGGGTCCTATAAACTCTGAAGTTAATAGTAGTTTTGCTGTCTTGGGACAGTTTCAGACCTTATGCCATTTATATAATAGGTTTTAAGTTGAGTAGATTATATACTGTAATGTTATGGCTTAATATTTTTATATACAGTGTTCAAGAACTTTTTGAGGCATTTCACTCATTATATATATCTCAGGTTTTCAATAATTTATAGATATTTATAATTTTCATTCACAAGTTGATTTGAAAGCAGAACTTAAATTGAATTCTATTATCCATTTTTTAAAGCATGTAAAAGTTGCTGTTAGAGCTGCTTTGGACTCAGTTAAGTTGATATTCATATGGATTGGGTAAATGATAATCAGAAATACGAACAAATGATAAATTTTAAAATTAGACACAACGGTACATACTTAGCATTTAGTTTATTTTTTCTGTGATATTGATTATCAGAAATACTAACAAATGATATATTTTAAAATTAAACACAAAGATAGATACTTAACAGTTAGTTTACTCTTTCTGTAATATTTTTCGAGGTGGGACTGGATTATGTATTGGTGTTCTGTGTTTTCAGTTTTCAGACTAATAGAAATCTGTTAAAAGTGATAATGCTTTGAAACTGAAACCATGAAATAGATGTCATTTGTAACTTGTTTTGAGTAGGTGAATTTCTGTGGTTAAATGTATGTCATAATGCCTATTTCAGTCTTTTTGGATTGTTTTGCCTATGAATTATATTAAACATTATAGGCATACTACATTTACATGTATATGGTAAACTAATGCATTCCTAGAAGTTTTGTATCATTTCACATTGTTTTCATTATATGGGGTGGGTATACATAGTTTTAAAAATACTGTATTGTTCCTTCATTATTCAAATAGTCTTGTACGCAGGTACTTAAATAAAAGTTTATAGTTTGTATGTTTAAATACTTTAATCTTAAACAAGCAAATTTTTTTTTTACCCTGAACAGATTTGTTAATGGCAAATTTTTTACCATTAAAAAATAGCAATTAAAAAATGAATGAATCTTAAATCAAGATAGATTTCATGATTGTTTAAATGATGATATATGTTACTTTTTGGTAACATTTTTCATTATTCTTGAGAAAGTTGATACTGTGTTGATATTCTTCAACTGAGGAAATCAGCAGGTAGAATACAATGATTTTGCTTTAAAATTTTTAAAGTTTGTGTATATGTGTGTTTAACAGGATAGATATAGCAACAGATATGTAGCAAGAGTTAATTTAAAAAAAAAAAACTTTTCTCAACAGTCTAGTAGGAATGTTACTTTGTTTTTGGTATCCATGTTGAGAATATGTTACAAGAAATGATAATACCAAAGAAGTAAGCTTTTAAATTATGAAGAGGCTGCTGGTTATTTTGTTTTTATGCTGAACATTTGGCTAAAAATTCTCTATTTGCTCTAAGCTACTTTAAAAATAAATAGTTTCCCTAACTGAATTACTTGCCTTTAACTCTTTGGTATATATTCCCAGTAGTCATCGCAAAGTGAATTTTAAGTTCCTCTCTGTTCACAGGAGCATAGTGTTCCCATATTTTGGAAATCCAAGATTAAGTGGATTTGACTAAATCTGTCTTGTTAGGGACAGATGGCTGCTTTAGACAGGTGTCACTTTCATTTTTTTTACTGCATTGTATTGGGATTTCCCAGTGGTTCACAAAAGGACTGTCTAAAGCAGGTGGCATCTTTTGCTTTTGTTGTTAGTAAAAAATCTACTTTTAGAGTTAATTATTTTCCTGGGAAGAGGTTTTTTTTTTTTTTTTTTTTTAGTAAAATTTTGAACTACTCAAGATTCATAATTTCATTAACATAATTTTTATTTCTGAATAACACTCTATTTTCAAGCTGTGGAACTTTCAGATCCTTTCTCAAAGTACTTGTCTGTTCTTACAAATAATGGTAAATTCCCTTTGAGGCCAGAAAAAGTACACAGGAACACTTTACACACTCAATGAGTCAAATTTATCTGAAGCAAAAAGCCAAGGCAGATTTGAATAAAGTGAAATTTGGTTGATATGATAAGTTAACTTTGCCATCCCATACTTAAAGGATTTTTCAGACAGCATTATTTTAATTAAGTGATATATATTGGAAATGGGTATTGTTTTTGTTGGTTCAGTATTTTACATATTTTCAAACTAAAACATTTTCCTAACCAACTTCAGTATTTGGTATAAAGTTTATAGTGATCTTTTAAAATAAAAATTGTTTTTAAGCATTATTGTTTAAAAATATGTACTGCAGTAAATAAAAGTATCAACCTATGGATTTCTAAAGTTTGTTTTTACTCTATGATTTTATCCTTTTTTGTGAGAATTTTATGTCTTATAATAGGTGCACCAGAGGGTGCTGTGCTGATTGCAACATGAGATTATTATCACTAAGAATGTGAACTCATTAGAACTTTTATTTAAAGAAAAAAATTCAATTATATATGCATTCAAGTACATAATTGCCTTATTTTTATGGAGTTTAAAATTTAATATACTGTCTTTATAGAAAGTTTTATATCAAAACCAGTCTCTGTATATATTGGCACAACATATAACAATATCAAAATTGATATCTTTGGCATAGCCTGAATGTTAGCTTTAGTCCTATAGGCATATACATTGAT